GAAAGAGTGGCCCTACTAAAGAAAAAGCAAAACCCAAACCATCTTCTATTTCCCTCAGTTTAATGCCCTTCCCTTCCATCCTTCCTGTTCCCTCTTAATTCTTTCACTTCCTAATTAATCTTTTTGCTTTATTATCTCAACCCTCTGACTTTAAAGATTTTTTAAGATGCTCCAGAGATTAATTCTTTCCATGAAAAAAATTGCCCCAGGGCAAATTTGCCATGAAAAATGAATGAAGTTATTTATAAAGTTCACAGAAGTAACTAAACCACGTATTATCAAATACACATTAAGTACTTGTTGATAAATACAACAAACATATAATGACGGTGCAAAGTATTGTCCACGGTTTCTCTGTAGATCTGTACTGGTCTTAGTAATTTACACATCTGATGACTGAACCAATCAATCAGTTTTACAGATGTACAGACTCAATCACAGAATACCGAGTGTGCATATTGTCATGTTTCATCACAGGATCTGCAGTGCTGGTATGGATTCAAAAGTTGTAATGTTTTCTAAACTCTTTAAAGACTTCATAGTCCTTACATATCATAGGCTATCAAGGCCTATCATACCATAGTAGTTTTAGAGAGATACATAGTGATTTCTGTAGCATTCTGCTGATTTTTGGAATGAGTGAAAAAGTGATTCAAGACATATTCTTACCTTGTATTCCATAGGAATTACATATGTGGAGCTAAGAGATGCTCTATTAGCACAAACAGATGTAGTCAAGCTACTGGGCATGGAAGGGAAATTAATGTCTGCTATACGGTTAAAGATCTGTAGGCTTCCATTTATGCTACCCAGTACTGCATGGACATTGTTGAGCATGTAGACTTGAAATGACAATGCACTTTTCACTGGGTCTCCCTCAGAAAATGGGTATCTGTTCCTTGGTGGTGCAGCCTTTTGAAAACCATTGTGAACTGATTCTAAGGGAGCTCATTTACAGCTCTCCAAGCATTTCTTTAAGGTCATCCACATGATGCAGTGAAAAGTGCAAGAATACTGAATAGTACAATGGAATTGACAGATCCTAGCAGTATTTTCCTTTCATATTGCATAGAGTAAGTGACAGGACAGTTACAGTAATTGGTTAGAATTTTAGAAAACTTTAAAGAAATTGCTTTGAAATTTTTAATTTTCATATACAGAAAAAAATTAAGAGGATGAAGAGTATCCTTTTTTTATATACTGTAAAAAAAAAATACTAAAAAGCACAATTTCATTAAAGCATTACAACTTTATAAAACTAGAGAAAATGTTTAAAAAATCTCTAATAATAAGTATATCTAAATATTTTTTCCTTTCTGAATAGAAATATAAACCACACATAAGCAACAGTTTTAAAGCAGAGTTTCCATTGTACAGATCAGAGAGCTTATCCTGAAAACATAACTGTCTGATGTTTAGAGCCTGTCATACATGACATGAAAAGGAATACCTACATCAACAATCAGGAAGTCCAGCCAGCACCACGCATTAGTGAAATACGTTTGAAAGCCATAAGCCACCCATTTTAAAAGCATTTCCAGAATGAAGATATAAGTAAAAACTTTGTCAGCATATTCCAGCATGGTCTTGATAGTTTTACGTTGCTCTATGTATATATCTTCAAATGCCTGTAAAAAAGATTTTTTAAGATATAATTACATGTCTTCACAAATTAGAGTGTGATATACAGTGGCCAAGAAAGAATTTGAATTGGAAAGATACAGGCATATATCCTTTCCTCAAGAACAGCTTCTGGTTTCACTCCATACTGTAGACTTTTCAGAAAGCTGGATCCAAACACAACACTCAACTTTCAGCTGAGTTGAACAGTGATCCACAAAACTTACTGTAGTACCATCCTCCAAATCTCATTTTAATTCACTTCCATGGATAGAAATGGTTTATTGATCTAAGGATTTCCTTTGTGTTAGCAAAGGTAGCAGCAAAAGGGAATTTAAAATCCTTTTGTGAGAGATTTAAAAATGACCCTGTGATACAGAAAGTTTTAGGAACTCATAATTGAAACCAAAATATACACACTAACCCACAAAGCAATCCTGAACAGAGATTAGTAACTGTCTTCTCAAAAGAAAATATCTACAATGACAGTGAATCACTGTGCATTGACCCAAGTGTAGCAAAAATACTGTATTTTGCCCCTGCTAGGAGGAGCTAATTACTTCAGTACTTACTCAACACACCCGATTTAACATTAATCCAGTAAAAGACCTGACAGAATCATGTTGGCACCTTACATCTCAAGTTTGACAGTCCAGCTTGTTGACAAATTCCTAGCTCAAGGAATAGCTGTGGTTTATTTGAAAAGTTTTCTTGTTTTGTTTTGTTTTGTTTTGTTTTGTTTTGTTTTGTTTTAAAAAAAAGAAAAAGCTATTATTATCAAGATGAAGACATGTGAATACCAGGGTTAGATAACTAATTACTTTCTCTTAACATTACATTTTGAACTTGCCAAATGATTTGTTTCATAGCCTGTGAGCAAACTCTATTGTAAATGCCAAATACTTCTTCATATATGTTGACATTAGAACATTTATGAATTAGATATTAAATTCTGATGTTACCTACAGCTCTATAATTAACTGTAATTCTAAATGCTTGCTGCTTAAAATAGACACAATAGTTCTACACTGAATTTACCAGAGCACCGCTGCTGAGGAGAATCATGAAGACAATGAAGGTCTCAAACCAGTTGTGTTCAACAATCTTATAGCAGGTTTTCCTAAGATTCCACCAGATTTTCCCTTTCCCATCTTCTACACTGACTTGACAGCATTTGAATCTTCGCACACAGCCTAAGTGTGATAATAAATGGAGATGTCAGAATAAGGTAAGTATTTATTAGGAATCACAATGAACAGAAGTAATTTGACTTATTCCTGTGCTACTGCAACAGATACTTCTAAATAAGTATCTCCTATTTGAGGATTTTTGTTTCAGTATTTGAAGTTAAAGCTTTTCAACTCTTATAACACCTTCCATGGAGAAAGAGAGAGCATGAGAACAGTACCTGTATGGCAGTACCTCTGAACAACTTACTAATACAAGCAGAAAATACAATAATAATCACAAAATTAAAAAAAAAAAATAAAATAAAATCCATCCCAAATCATCACAGTTAGATCAAACCACCTTGCATATGTTTTCCTTTGCCTACCTTCTGTAAAACAAGCCTCTGGCTCCAGAGCTTCTTCAGGTTCTGCTTCGGGCTGTTCCCCTTCTTGAGGTAGTCCAATATCAACTGTGCTGCCTTCTGATGAACTGGATGCATTTAATTTCTGTGAATGAAACCCCACAGAATTATTTTTTTTCAGTATCCTTAATTTTGAATAGAAGTTCATGTTTAAAATGCATACCAAAATACATTGCATGTATTCTGTGCTCTGACTTTAAAATAATTTCTTATCTACAATCTATAATGCCAAATTGCTCTGCTACAGGTGAGGTCACAAGATTAGAAACTACATTGTGTGCATTTTCCCTATTGAAAATATTTTAATATTTTCATACAAGGAATTGTTGAAATTGTTAGACTAGTATTCAGAGCCATGCGTAATAATTCTGAAACAAAAATTCAGTACATTAAGAGTGGGTGCCTTCCACACTTTATACTGTTTAATTACTCCAACCATGTGGCTGCATTTTAGCTTACACTTCATATAGAATGTGTTAACACAATTTTCCAACATCATGACCAAACCAACAGCAAGCTGCATAGATGTATTTTCATGTCTCAAATAAATGTTATTCTATCAAGCCTAAAATCTAAAAAGTTTGAACATAAACTTTTCCTTATCATTGACATGAAAACACATGAATTGTACAGGAGAGTTTAAGTATCTCTGTTTCCAAAAGAGCAGCACATTAGGAGCAGTAGCTGGTATTTTGCATTCTCACTTGCCAATGCATTTCCTGAATTTACTGTGCTTTATGAAACTACTTATTACTTTGATACAGTACACATACATGTCAGATCACTAAAAAAGCCAAAAACCAAAGAACCCTTTATTTTTTGAAGACTAAAGTGAAAACAAATGCTTTTGAAACAACATCATCATAAAACAATACTGCACCAATGAATTGTATTGATAGTATAATCCAAATCTTCAAAATTATTCTTTCACACCATCGCTTTATGTTGGCAACAGACAAATATGAGTACTGGAGTAAGTAAAAGTAGTTTGATCATGGCATTCTATGACTCTTCTAATGTTATCACTATGTGGAGTATAACATCAGTAAAATGGCTGCATTGATCAGTAGCTAATTTTATAAAAGGAATGATGTAAGCAGATTTAGAATACAGTCTATACAGCATATGGGATAGAGAGATGGTCCATTGTAACATTAAAGATGTATCTTTGCTGGTGCCTAAAACTTGTGTTAGAGGCATTATTCCTTTAAAATATTTGATAATCTCCAAATTCTATACAGTGTCTTTGTAAAGAAAATGTAAACAATATTAGTATGTGAATACAGAAGTACCATAAGACTTCAATGGAATTTTGCATTGCAGAAAATATTAAGTATGTTCTTCAAACAAAAAGATTAATTCCTTTCTCCCTCACTCTGATTTTATCAAATCACACTGACAATATATCATGCTGTGATTTTGGCATAGGCTGCACTTTGATGTTTGTGTACCATGGTACACAATAGCCCACATTTTAGAGGAAGACCAGACAAAAGGATACATTTATTGTAGGGTGTATTATGTATGTAATTTCAGTGATACCTGCACACCTATATCCTTTATGTTTCTTTGAAAATCCCAGCTTATGTATTTATGTCTCATGTTTGTGCATGAGCTGTAGCATCTATGAGGTTAGGTCCAATGTACAAAGATATGGATGATCACTTTTCTGCAGATTGTCACTTACAAATTTCCCATTGCCACACATTCAGATTATAGATAATGCATGTCAGTTTGGTCCTTGGGGAATACTGCCTCTAAAATGGAGAAACTAGAAAGTATGAGATAAATACTGAGGTCCTCAAGTAAGGACTACAGCATTTAAACATGAGTGGAAGTCAATCATCAGTTTGAGAAAAGGCCAGAAATACCATAAACACGAGGTACATTCCAAATAAATTTATATATAGCACTAAAAATTAACATTTATCAATGCAATACAGTAAATTTTTTAAACTGAGAAGTGACTGTCTTTATTATGTAGAGTTTCTTAAAATGGTGCTTGCATCATTCCAATCTGGACAGCATTTCTAGCAAAATGCTGTAATAGCAGAGCAAACAAAAATTATGAACTGGTTAAACCATAGTTTGAAAGACCTACTGTCCATTCTTTTACAGGAAAACGAAGAGTTCAATAACTCAGATATTAGGCAGTTATTTAATCCGTACATGTTGATTTTAAGAAGGGGTAATGAGTTCCTACTACTGAAATTGAGTAAGACTAATAGTTAACTCAAGATAGAAGATTAGAGATGTCCACTATAAAAAGAGATCAAAAAGATGAGGTAGAAAACATAGAAAATTATAAGTAGAACAATCAATTATCAGGCACATCAGAAAGTCATCTTTATTTATGTGGGGCAGTATGTATGGTGCATAGTATCTTACAAGTCTCTTCTCACTGAATATCTGGTATGCTTCCTCTAAAGAGCTGCAATAATAATCACACAAGTTAAGCTAAACAGAAAAATCCTAAATTGAATCAACAGCAGCTGATACTTGAAACACAACAATTAAATGCCTTATCCCACCACAAATTCAGTTACTCCTCTGTTGATGAGCATTTCCTTAGCATGCTGTTCTATTATACCTGAATTAGCCCCAACTAGATTAGTACATGAAGAAGCATGTTATAAAAATTATTCAATAAATTCAATCTGTAATTCAATTCAGTATAATTTGGGGAAGAAAAAAATGTAAAACTTTTAACAGAAAAAAAAATACTTATCTCTGTTTGTTTCTTTGCAATTTTTAACATCGAATTTATTGTATGTCATTCTAGATATTTATAAAATTTAGTATGCACTACAAACAGCTAGGAAGGTTTTATGATACAACACCTCAAGATTTTAACAAATCGATTAAGTTCAGTATACTAGGAAACCTTTGCAGTAACAATCACGCATTTCCACAGCAAACTTCTGCTCTGATATAAAGCAACTGAGCCAGGGATGTTGTACTGATATCTATGTATCAACACAATATCATCTGGAAAAAGATCATATTATTGCTGATTATGTTTTGTTCATATGTTTTAATACATAAGAAGAAATTTTCTACCACTTACTGTGACGTGCCAGTGTTTACACATATGGAATACAGCAGGATCTCTAGACTATCCCTAATTGCAGACCTTGATTTGCTAGGTATGTAGTAGACGTCCCAGCTCTTTACCTTAACATATCTTAAAGTTACTCTTATATCTGATAATTTTTTCTCTGATAACCAGTATCACAAAGACTGGATTTAGGCAATGCTATACACTTAACAAGTATACAGCTTTAAAAAAAAAAAAAAAGAACCTGTGGAAATAAGATAATTATCAAAACCAAGTGTTACCTGTCATATAATAATAAGTCCTTTTTAAGCCTTTTTTATACCAGGGTTCTAGGTTTCAAAAGTATTCAGTCACTCAAATTACAGAAGACTTATCAGGGTGAATTATTAGATGCTCTTTGAGAGTTATGATGCTAGATTTTTTTCTGAATAGGATGCTAAGGAAATTATTCTTGGAGAAATCTGCTTTTCAAAACCTCAGAATGTACATACTCCATCTCCTTTTCACAGAAGATCGTAAGGGGACAAAAGTACTTACATGGTTCTAAAGCAGCAGTATGATGATGATCACAGAGAGATATATTACATCATATCTACCAACAGCCTTGCCAATCATGCTTTAGTCAGCAATACAGTACAGTATGAGATACAGGGTTTAGTTTAGCTTTCAAGATAGAAACTGAAAGTGGAAAGCAGCTTGCCTAACAGAGCAGCATTGCAAAAAGCAGCAGCCAAGTTTAGGTCAGGAAGTTTTTGAAATCATTACTTTCTGAACCTCAGCAACATCTCATAGATTCATACAATTCTGCTTCACTTACAGCCAGGCCACTTTGAGCTTCTAACATTTCTTTCTTTGCTTCAATGATTCTGACAGCAGTTCAACAGCTCTTAGTAACATTTTTAACAAAGCCTGGTATTTCATGATTGGTCAGGATACCACTAATAGCTATAGAAATCATAATTTAAGGGACTGAAGGAGCAAAGAGCAGAACAGACATAAGCAGGAAGATGGCGCCAAGAGAAGCCACCATTTTGGTTTTGCTTTTTATTTCCTTTTCTCCTAAATACCTGTGAAAATACTACATAATGAAAATTATATTGGTTTTTATTATTTCAGCGCTGTGTGGACATCAGTATGAAAATGAGACGTTCTGTGAAATAGCAATGTTATATCCAAACTTATCCATTCTTTTTCAGTACAGCTATATCACCTATAAAATTAACCAAGTAGTAAATAACATTGCAATTCCATTGGTATCATTAAGTGGAATCTGAATGTCACTCTTTCTAGTGCTTATACAGTCAGGCATAAGAACTCAACTAGTTCAGAAAAACGTTGTAAATGGTACATTGTAAATCTAAGTGAAACAATTCTGTAATGATTATTGTTTGCAAATACTGGAAAAAAAAGGGATCCCTAAATTATAGTCCACTCTGTACTATATCACTATTTGTAATTCCTTTGATCTACTTATTTATGAGCTTTTCATAAATGAAAATATTTTCAGGAATGTTGCATGAAAGCAAAAGCATCGTTAAGTAGCAGTGGAAATATTTGCAAAAGCAGTCCCATTGGAAGCTACTTAAAAAGGCTCTTTATTTCACACAAGCAATAGTGAAAGGATATTTCTGAAATGGAGTGAGGGACTACTCTTTGCAAAGATTAAATGAACTCAAATTAACTCTAATATTAACAACTTAATATCATCCACCATGAATCACAGTATACCAATACTACGTGACCAATTCACAAACAATCTCAAGCCTAAATTCTTCAGCGTATCAAAGGATTTTGAATAGTGAATATTTTTAAATCAAAACTATGACTTCTCAGATAATTTATTCCTTACAAAATATAAAAGAAAAAGCTATGCAGTAAGTATATCTTAACTCCACTGATTTACCAAACTGAAAGCAGCATCACACAACTATGGTGTTGTAACTATTATGGTCACGTTTAATAGGTGATATATAAATCACACTGAAACTGGGGACCTTTTGCTCCAAAATCAGTAGCTTGTTTACTAGACTGCTGAACTTTATTACTGATAAGATGAGAATAAATTTAAGTTTCTCAGGGCAGAAAATTTTGGATGTTTGGGGAGGCAGTCAAATTGTGAGCATAAATTAAGGAGCTATGGTAAGCCTGAACTGGGCCAGATCTTGCTATTGGTTTTCTCTTTGCACCTCTACACTTTTAAGTGTGGGTGTAAGTAAGAGCAGAACTGATCTCTGAATGTTTGACCAGCCAAATACCAGTTTTGTATGAGTTTTTTTAACCAAATGATGGTTACATGCTTTGACTATGGAAACTGAATGAATTTCATGCTTAATGGTGCTTCAAGTATTGCACATTAATCTCCAAAGTAACTAAATGCTTATACAAATACTGAAGAAAAGCATTTCTAAGAAAAAAATTGTGAAAAATAAAAATGTGACTATCATGAGTTTGCAAGTTACCTCCATTATAAGCTAAAATACAGTGGTATGAAAGTTTTCCAAAACAGCTACCAGCTTTTCATTATCAACACAGTTTACATATGTGTTTATACAAGCTTCTGATGAGAAACATAGCTTACGTGTTGCATACCCTGTCTTCCTTCAAAAGGAAAGAATATCCTTCAAAAAGAAAACCCTAAAAACTTTACCATCAGGATTGGGAAAGGTACATAGCATGCACTGCAAAATACTATTACAATATCATGAAAACTATAGCATCTGAACCACAGAAATATTGGGGCTGCCGATCTCGCCTGACCATGCTGTGATGCGAGTCCCGTGACTCAGCAGAGAGCAGCTGTGCATGTTTGTACTTCATTGCAATGGATAGAGAAGGTACAGAGCCGAAGAGCATGCAGGCCAGTCCGTATCTGTTAAAAAGTGATTATGTAGTATATACATATAGATGTATAACTTGCTTAGGTAACCTGTGTAAAACTGGTGACACGATGCTCTGCCTCGCTAAAAGGTACCAGAGCTGCCCGCTTGACTGATCCAGCTTGGTTCTACTCCTGTGAGAAGTAAGAATGGTAGGAAATGAAGTTCAGGACACAGCACCTCTGCTTTTTTGCACTGAATACTGCTTAAATTGAAATATACATTATAAAGGTGTCTGCAACAACATTAGGATATCCCATATTTTTCAAGGCATTTAAAAATATCTGGTTACTTGGTATATTTTGGTGTAATTACTAGCCTAGAAGTTACACTTAGCATAAAAATCTAATAATTACATAGCTATACATGCACTACAAAATTTTCTATGTAAACCATCCCCATAGTACTTAAAGACCTAAAATGGAAAGATTATTTTTATAGCTTCTAGACTGGATAGCAGTAATGAAGTTCAGGGCAACTGACTCAGCACAGTGGACCCCATATTTGTTAATGGCCCTACTTCCATGGTAGTTTTATTTAGGATTTGTTCTCTATTTCCCTTATTACATTGCATTGCCCCACTACCATTATTATGGACACCATGTTCTCATAATTTATTCTATTCTAGGTTTCAGGCAATTTTCTAGAAAATTCCTTACAAATTCATGCTCAGTAGCAAGTACAATTCTAGAAAGGCATAATCTAGTTAACATCTCCATCAAAATACTACAAAACATATCTGTTATAATAAAGAATTCACCAACCATTAAGGTATTTAATTAAAATTTGCTAATAAATTATAATTACTTTGTAGAAATTCGACTTATCGAACTATATCACAGTGAATACATGTATGCATGTGTATATAGAGAGATAAACAAAAGCACACAGACACTCATTAGCACCTGGCTAGCTTGTGCAGTGTTCTCACAGTCCATGAATGCATAAGCTGCCTTTCATTTGGGATACTGCTAACTGAATTGATTTGGTGGCAGTTTCTAACTTCAGTACTTTTAATTTGTGGTATAAGCAATGAAGTGACTGGCAGATCAACACTCAGCAACTGCAGAATCATATAAATGGGAAAACATGAGAGGGCAGAAATGCAAGGCACATTATGGCATGACAAAAAAGAGGAAGCCTTGAACAAAAAGGCATTTGTAGTCATTTTTTTAATTTTAAAAATGCCTTCTTTTGGCATTTTGGCATTTGACGTATAGTATTTAAATTAATAGAATTCAATTACACTTCCAAATTACTTTTTGCAGAGAAGTTGCCAATTAAAAATTATCAGATCTATAATCTACTTTGATAAAACTTCAGTTAATAGATACATAATCACATAACTTTTGAAAAAGAACAAGCACAGGAAAAGCATATAGGACAGTTTAAAACATAGTTTATTATTGCCATGAGTAAAATCAATAACATTATCAGAGTTAATCCGATAGGGTGGGGGCCCAAAATAAGAAATGAAGAGTGGAAAGTTTTCCTCAGTGCATAGTTCTGATTGTACTGGAACTGCACAGTCAGCATTTCAGACTGTATGTCAGAAGATTCATACAGTGATATCAGCTGAAGTATTATTGCCAGTTACACTATATATGTAGTATAAACTACCAGTATCTTCTTTGCACTTTCCAGTTGAGTCATTTAGAATGCTTTATGAAAAATTATAGATTTAGGTTGACAGCATCCTTGAAATGGATAAAAATACCATAGTAACGTTACAGAAAATGCAGAATGACAGATAGGTATTTGTTACTTCACCAAGACAGCAACAACTATTTTGTGATGAAAAAATCCAAGTATCCTCCTTCCTAGTACTGAACTGTAACTTAAGACACTTTATTTCCAGACTTCCAGTAGATCCACTGGCTATCACTAGTTACTAAGCAGGAAAATGGCTGAATGGGATAGATGGACTTGAACCTGATTAGCAGGAAAAAAGAACAAACCCAGAAGGACGAGGCCTATACCAAGAAACTACATGATTTACAAAAAGCCAGAAAAATACCAGGTGCGATTATGATCACATGCAGTCATTATATGCTCACTTATAGGTGGAATTTGATCAGATTAGAAGTAGAATTTGCTCCTCCTTTGGCAGCAGTAAGTTTTGAAACAGTAAACAATTGGACAACAGAACAATGAATCAGCAGAACAATGGAAGGACAGAACAATGCACTAGCACTATATGGTGTAAAGGTGTCTGAAGAATTTTTTTTTTATCATAAGTATGAAGACAGAATAGAATTAACCAAACGCTGACATTCAGACCAAGAAATTAAAGGCTAAGCTGCAATAACTTCTGCTTTGTTCTACCCACTAGTCATTGTTTTGAAGAGTAACAAGAATACTAACACAAGCAATCTGAAAAAAAAAAAAGTAATATTTTTAAAAGAATGATAAAGACCTTTCTTATAAGAAACAAGAAAACATGACTAAATGTGTGATGCAGTCAGTACAAAAAGGGATCTCAGGGTGAGAATTACTAGAATCTTAGCCATATTTATACCCTCAGATTTAAGCGCAAGGAAATCATCTAGAAAAATCTTGATGTTAGTTTATGTCTACACAGCAGCATGCAGTGTTGTTCAAAACCACCCATGCTAACGCTGAATGAACTAGCATCAGTACTAAGCATAGCACAGACTTACTCCACTTGAGGTGGTGTGCCGCCACCACGTACACCTCGTGCAGGACGGGGCATCTTGTTAACACCATAACGTTATTGTATCAACACAATAATGCTTTGGCATCCCCTGTAACTCACCAACTGCTAGCTTGGGTTTGTCCATTTGGCAGCATATTGTACCAGAAAGAGGTACGTTTGGTTATAGCCACAGTAGGTGACAGATTCAAATATCTCAAAGCTTTGAAAATTACAATGGGTCATCATACAAAAGGATCTTATACTGAGATATAAAGCTTCATAACATTTTTACAATAAAGCAATTACTTCACTTCTTCAGTGGTTCTGCTACTACGAGATAGATTATTAGTGATTGATATGAAACCATTTAGTGATGCTGGTCCAGTATTCCAGTGTACTTATGATGTATCTAGATGTACTTTATCTATATCAAAGAAGCTAAAAGCATCAGAATGAACCCTTAATTTGATAGGAGGCACTCCAGAAAGCAGACAAAACAGTAAATAAACTGCACTGGTGAAATAAGCCTGGAGAAACTTGCACAACTCCCACACATTTTACAAGACTTCTGGTATCCAGTGCTACTAAATTGGTTCATTACTTTTTAATGATTTAACTAAATAAAACAGAAAAAGTATGAATTTTCTAAAAAATTGTCTTATGCATCTTGATTATTACTGTATATGTAATACTGTACTACCATCTCATTTAAACCCACAACCTTACATCAATTTACCTTAAATATTGTTAGAAGTTTGTATACGCTGTTATACAGGAATTAAACAGAGATTTTCAGTTCACCACTACCAACCTTAGGAAAAAAAGAAAAGCATCAGCATATTTTAAATATTGAAATAGTCTTACCTCTTTGCTTTCTTCCAGGTCTGACTCGCTGCTGAACTCCTCTGTATTTAAATTTTCAAAATCTGATTCCCCAACAGCAATTGGCACCGTGACAGTGAGACTTGGGTTGTTTATGAATGACATATAATCACTTTCATCAACAACATATTTTTCCACACTGCTGCCTATACCACTGGTAGTTCCATTCCCTTCTTTAAGATAGGCAAGGTTTTTACCTATATCTACTATTGTGTGGTTGGAAATACAGCTGTCTTTTTTATTTAGGTCTTCAAGAGGTTTGATTTCATCTAAAACTTTCTGCTTTCTAACAAAGGCTTTTTGAATGAATTCACGCAGTTTTCTCTTCACATAATCTATGCCTTTCTGAATCCTTGCCACAGCAATCTGTAGATTGTTCATTTCATTATCATCATCTGTAGCAGCAAGGTTGTCTGAACTAAATGAGCTCAGCAGCAAGGCCAAAAAGAGGTTAAGTACCTAAAAGAGAGGAAGAAGAAAATATACTGGATGTCTTATTTTTAAGTCATAAAAGTAATTCCATTATGAGTTGTTCAATATGACATAATTTTTATTTCACAGCTAGCACTTAATAAAGTGCTAGTGTCTCCCATATTTTATTATGATTTGCCCAAAACATTTTTAGCTTGTTTGACTTGACTAATATAGGTGAAAATCTGAGCTATTCTTTGATTTTCTCCTTCACACTGGAAATAGTGCAAGTCTGCTCCTCAAAGTGCAGAATGACATAAGGAGGCAGGAAACAACATCATGTAGCAAGTTATGCAAGCTACATCCACTGTAGTACTCATAGGTGAAGGGAATGCAAGCAGACTCCAGTCTTCCACAGTTCAGCAGATCATAATTTCAGTGTCGCTAATTCAGAATATAATAAACTTACATATTTGCCAAGAATGTATCAGTCTATTTTTGTTTTGGGCAGGAAAACTAGCTAAGAGATAAAAAGTCCACAGATGTGATATATCACAATTTTAGGAAACTACTTCAGATTTTCTTGCATGATATTTTGCAAACGTACAAGAGAAATCTGGATGTGGAATTATGACAGACTATGTGATGATTAAAAATTATATTTAAATTATATCTGTCAATTCTTCCTGTTCCAATTTACAGAATATTTTAGAAGGTACACCACAGTAGTCTCATATTAGTGCAGTTAAACTTGGTATTTATGCCTGTGGATAAGCATATTTATAAAATTTGTGGATGATATCAAGAAGAGAAGGGATGTTAGTGCTCAACAAGAATGAACTACAGTTAGGCATAACTATGGTAAATCAGTGAAACGACTCAAAATCAGTATGGTATTTAATACTAAAGTACTAGTGTGAAAACGCTGGTTACAAAAAAATGAAAAAGATGTATACAAGAGGGTGTGAAAACTGGCAAGCTGGAAGCACTACAGGAAAGGGCATGTAGGCTGCATCAGGAAAGGGATGTACCACAAGGGATGTTGGCCATGTTACATACCACTAGGTTTCCAATCACCATGACCATCATGAAGACAGTAAGGCACATAGTTTGGCCTGCAACCTCCATGCAGTCCCACATTGTTTCTATCCATTCTCCACACAGCACTCGGAACACAATCAAGAAAGAGTGGAAGAAGTCATGCATGTGCCAGCGTGGAAGTTCACAGTCACTGGAGATCTTGCAGACACATTCCTTGTAGCTTTTCCCAAACAGCTGCATCCCAACCACAGCGAAAATGAACACAATGATGGCCAGCACCAGGGTCAGATTTCCCAAAGCCCCCACTGAGTTGCCAATAATTTTTATCAGCATATTTAGAGTTGGCCAAGATTTTGCCAGTTTGAAAACTCGAAGCTGCAAAATAGAAGAACAGTATACAATTATTCATATTACTAATTGTTATTAAATTTTTGCTATACATCTCATATTTCAGTTACCCAGTTTAAATCACATCTCATGTAACCTTTAGAGACTTCAGTGAAAATATTTATGTTTCCAGCTCTGTACAACACTAGACAACAGCAGTCTTAAGTCCTGATTTAAGTCATAAGAAATTAAAAATGCTGTATCTATGCTCATTTCAATTACATTGCAATTATCACAAAATCAGACTTTGCTTCTTTTGGTGCATTTAGATCTCTATAAGCAGGTAGTACATGTTGGACAAGTTGGACAAGACAGTCTTTCTCCTTTACTTAACTCTGAGAATATTACTAAAAATAAACCAGCACATATGAAATGTGAACAGTTTAACTGGATTGTAAGTGTATAGACACTCCACATCTCTTTTGTCCTAACTGACAGAGAGATGGAAGAAATTATTTTCCTAGAAAAAGAAAGCTAGAGTTGTTACTGACAGGAAATAAGTTACTCACAAGTATCTTTAATAACATCTTTCCTATCATTTGAAACAAGCATAATGTGTTTTACAAAGTTTGTCATACAACACAAGGTGTTGAAAGTGTTACATTAAAGGACAACTTGAAACAGGCAAAAATGAAATTATTTGGAAAGATATAGCAAGTGTTCAGACAACTGAAAGAGAAAACTAAAAGCAATCTAAGTTTAAATATTATTTAATGAGATGAGACTTATATAGATGCAAAGTTAAAAACAGAATTCTGTTATTGAGGGAGAAGTCAATACAGGTAGATATTAGACTTAAGGCAAAAAGCAATATAAAGCTACACAGAGAACTAGAAAAATGGATTAATTTAAACAATTTCTTTTTTTTTTTCAAGAGGGTTTATTTAAATTTTATTTAAAGTTGAGTATTTTTTGCTTTATGTAAGGCAAAAGTTAAGCTTGATGACTAGGAACTCTAGCTTCGTGTTTCTTACTTTGTAGGTCTTTTCAGAAGAGGATCTGAACATCAACTTGCGTGCTAGCCTAGTCTGCAGTAAGGATTAAGGTTTTTCAAGTTCCTATTCACATCTAATAACAAAGAGTTACTGTACCAACTTCCAGACAGAAGAGCTTTCAGACGTTGGATGGACCCTTGTAGAGGATGGTAAGGAGAAGCCTCTTAGTGATGAAAAATCCCTACCCAAATAAAAACCTTAACACTACTCTCTTCTAAACTAACCATGCAAGGAAACTGCTAATGGAAGTCTATCAGCTAAAACTGTCAAAAAACTTTTATTAACTGAGCTAACCCAGCGGTTTACTAATCTTCAGTCCCAGGTAGTGAGGGCCTGTGGCTCTTGCATTTTTTATTCCCTCATCTAGGGAAAAAAAAACCCTAAGTGATACTACTATTAAAAAGGGTTAATCCTTCCAGCACACTCACTGAAAGAGCAGAATTGATGCTGACAATGTCTTGAAGAAGAAACAGACATTACTAAGACAATACATGAAACAAACTTGACATAAAAGGTATTTGCCATCTAATGGCTATGCAATTTAGTAGTTTATAAGTTCTTATGATAAAGTCATCTGTCTTTGCCAAATATATACGATACAAATGGAAAATGTACAACATATCTGCACAAATGCAAAAAAATATAACACAGAAACATATTTTGCTTAGTATATTTACCAATCGGAATGATCGAAGGACAGATAATCCTTCTACATTTGCAAGGCCAAGCTCCATTAAACTAAGACTCACAATAAAACCATCAAAAATATTCCAGCCCTCTTGGAAGTAATAATAAGGATCCATGGCAATTATCTTGAGAAACATTTCTGCTGTGAAAATTCCAGTAAACACCTGCAAGGAAAATACAGTTTCTTACTCCAGTTGAGTGAGAAAATATTTAAAAAAATAAAAGTAATGGCATCAACTTTTGGTAAGTTGCACCTTCAGCAAGCAATCCATGGTAAAGCTGAATAGCTTCTCTATATTGCCATATATTTGAGTTAGGAATTAAACTCAGGTTTGAAGCTTACATATGCATCACAATGTTTGGTTTTGAAAGAAAAGGAAGCATATGGGAAAAATACGGTTTTTATCTAGCCTGCTAATATGCATGTATAAATACAGATACACAGAATCTCTTCTGATTTTAATGCTCAGTTTTATCTCTTTAGATCTCATCTTTGCCCTTGGGACACCCTTTTGTTTCTAGGGACCAAGATAAGTTCATGAGAAGGACAATTAAGAAAAAAAAAAATATACAGAAAGTTGAGCAGAACTATTCTTCTTCAGGACTGTTCTTCTTCACGGTGCCCTGCGGAAGGCACTGTCATACCATTCCACCACTTCCTGCAGAGTGGCAGTAAACCTGCTGTGCTTACCGGGTCTTCGCCCTCTACAATTCTGTGAACACTCAGGACCTCAGGAGGTGGTAGTGAGGAGCGGAACAGATGCGGGGATGGAACTGAAATTTCTTATGATTTGTAAGTATCCATCCAAGAAGAAATACTAGATAAATTTCTTTAACCAGGTTCAGTGACAGAAGGTGAAGGTTTTAAAAATCAAAATGCATATCGACTCAATATATCTCACTATCTTTTTGCTCCATAACTCAAGAGTGGCAAAATCCACAAATGCCAAAAAGGAGGAATTCAATACAGGTCAAATTAAAATTCAACCATCCCAAGCTTATATATATATATATATATATGGTCAACCTTCTCTTTAAAAAATATATACATAGATCACAGGAGAATTATTTAAGAAAAATGAATTTCACATGCATGGCACACTATGAAAGAAAGACTTACGAGGTTTCCTACTGAAAGCACACCACTAAACTGTTCTGTCATTGGATAGTGCTCCATTGCCATGAACAGGGTGTTTAGGACAATGCAGATAGTAATGGCCAGATCAACAAATGGGTCCATCACAATCAAATGTACAATATGTTTGATTTTCAGCCAGAGGGTACAGCAGTCCCAAATCAAGCAAGTGTTAGCAAATTTATACCAGCATGGTGGACATTTCTGTCTGGACTCTTCCAGTTCTAGAGAGAAAAATGAAAACAACACCTTAATCATATTTCTCTGTTTCAGTATCACCTGGGTATTTCCTTGAGGTACTGTCAGTCAAAAGAAATCACATTTAAAAATAATCTGTTCCACTATGTATTACGTTTGATGTAAAATGAATGCTAAATAATCACTACACAAAATAATCATTCACAAGCAAATGCTACATAGGATGCAAAATAGAAATTTGTCTTAGAAATCTGCATACAGGCTGGGCAATGAGTGGATTGAGATGTTTCTATACATGGAATAAGTAAAATATTTTAAAGTTTCCTCATGAAAGACAAACATTTAGAACCTCAAGTTAGACAACTGTTTAGAGAATATTATGGTCCATGTGTGCAAAACTGCTAATTACTACCTTCCTATTTGCTATGTTGGGCATTGTCATTTAAGCCTTAGAGTAATGTTTTACTGTTTCTTACATATAG